AAAAGTTTCAATGCAAGAGGCAGCCAGCTACACTTGACATCATGCTTCTCAACTACCTCCAAGCCTTGTGCATCTAAGATGTACTCATTAAATCCTTCCAGAGCATTATATACCAAGACTTCTGTACCTAAGATGGGTCAGCCAATGCCCTGACACTGAGGAATTTAAGAAGCTTTGGAGGAAAAATGGATCAGCAGTGCTGATATCCCAGTGGATTTCCCACCTGGAATTCTCTCCAGTTTCCCTAGAATGCTGCTGTGGACCTGGCTGGCCATACCTCCTGTCTCAAAATACTGCACAGTAACACGTGTAGAGAAGGTTGTACTATGGTACCAGGCAAGCAGTCTGCATTCAAGGAGCTTTTGCTTAGCTGTGACTCTGAGCAGAGGCACCGTCACCTTGTGAATGGCATCCAAGATGGGAGTGAAGAGATCTGTGTCGTAGTTGGAGCGTTTGTGCTGCAGAACCGTAACCAGCCTTTCCAGGCCCATTCCTGTATCCACATGGCGCTGCGGCAAGGGAAGCAGATTCCCCTCCACCTCTCTGTCAGCCAGCCAGGAAAAATAAAAGACAAAAGAGAAGCAAGGGTCAGTTCAGGGGCAAAGAAAAGGAGCAGGTGAGTCAAAGAGAATGGGAGAGTGAGAGGGGATGGAAACAGCAGGTGACCCAACAGAAGGAAGCTCAGGGACAAGACTAACAGCAGCCTGCCTTGGCACTGTCAGGCAGCCAGGATCTGACCATCAGATAGTCAGGATAGACTGTAACATAGGGAAAAAGGCCTTCCCTGAACAGGGGCCCAAGGCCTTCTCCTCCTTCTGCAGGTTTCTCCGGGCTGCTGCAGACCTCAAGAGACCTCTGGGATGCAGAAGTGAGGGAGAATAGGCAGCAGAGCTTGAAGGACAGGACAAATAAAGCAAAGGGGACCAAGAGCCACAGCTTCCCTCTTGCTCCTGTACTGCCACCTCCTGGAAAGCAGTGAGATGTCTGAGAATATACACGTATGATTTTGGAGTCAGACAAGGGGGAAAGGCTCTGGAGTTCAGGCCAGATGCCTGGTACCTGCTATACTGCATGAAGACCAGGTTCCAGATCTCCACTACATCGGGGCTGCCCTGGTTCACCAGTGCCGCAGCATTTCTGCCACCACCCACGTGGTCATAGTGGATCTCTGTGCAGGGACCACAGGGCCCTGTGTCCCCCATCTCCCAGAAGTTGTCCTTCAATGGAAAAGGAAGCACGTGACTGGCAGGCACCCTGGAAAGGCAAACAGAAGTGGCAGCACTGGGGCATGCACAGAAAGCACATAGTAGCCTAGATCACAGAGAAAGTTGGAAGGGAGAAATCCCTTCTGACTACTACAAACTCAATAACCAAACACATTAGGATTCCTTTACTTCTACCCACACAGAATTACTCTCCTTAGCTGTAACAAGCTGGACCAAACCTGATATGATCCTACTCACTGCCTAGAATAGCTGGCAAACTCAGTGTGGCTCCTGCTGACAGAGACAGGCTCTCCACTGGGTCTATGGAGCTGCTTTTCTCCTTGGAGGGAATTCCAGCAGAGCCAAGGCCTGATCACAGTGGACGAGGTTGAACACCAACAGTGGCACAGAGCTGGCTGCCTTGGGTCCAAAGCCCACATACAGCCTGGAACAAGCTCTCAAAGCACAGCAGTGCTCTCTGCAGCGGCTTCATCCTCACACTGAAGTAGCCACTGCTAGCTTTCAGAGGAGAACGTACTCTCCGCAGCTCATGATGGAGAGGAAGCAAAGGATCAGAGATCCTTCACACACTTCGTCCAGGCCAGCCAGTTTTAGGTACACAGCCCCCCAGTCTGGTAACATCTGAGAAACAGCCTAAAGGTCAAGTGCCCCAGAGCACTCAGAGCCCAGCTGACTTCTAACAGCCCAATTAAACCAGAAATGAAATTAGTTTAAAACACAACTTTTGGCCCCTACATCTGATTCCCATCAACTAAAGAGCAAATGGGAGACTATGGAGACTGAAATGTCAGCACCTGCTGCTCAGAACCTCTTCTCTAACACACTTACCCCAGGCGGAGCCATACATCCCTGCACTCCTCATCTGCGCTCAGCCCCAACGAGGAGTCTCCGCCAAAATAGGTGACGTAGAGACGATCTCTGGGGATCTCGTAGACTTCTGTCAAGAGCTCCCAGGCCATGCTACATGCCTCCTCCTGAGCAGGCAGGGAACATAAACGAAGCACAGTAATCCAGGATGCATAGCGATGCAGGAAGGCTCTTTAGAATGGGAGTCAAACAGCAAAGAAGTTCATTTCAGCTGCTCTCTCCCTTTCCAATTTTCAGGGTATTGCAAAGAGCAGGATGCAGGTCAGGCGAGTGAGACAGCTCACTGCTGCCTGTGGAAAACTGACATTCCTAAATTGTTGGGAGACCTTCAGGATCACAGCATGGTCTACACGCACGTGCTTACCAGCAGAGTTACATGGATTATTTTCTTTCCAAGGAAAAAATGTATTCGCTAGCAAAACAACTTTTTGTTGTTCTGTTTGTTAAAGGATCTTTTATCCCACTTCCCTTTTCAAACTTTCTGGTGACAAGCACCAAATGAACTGGAAACCTCTTTTCACCATGTTAAATGGTCAACGCTGGCATTCACACAGAGATCTTTGATTTGTAGGCGTTGTTCACAACTTTGAAAGGCTGGGCGCTCTGAGAGTCTGCAGGGCACACTTAGCGATTCAGCACACCAGCCGACTACCCCTGCTCCCGGCCACAGAGCTCCCGAGAAGTAGTTTGGAGCTTACCAAAATGCCTTCTGCAGACAGTCCTACGGCACCACAGCACAGAACTACAGCACCGCTCTGACAGAAAGGCCGCGTTTCCCCCCCTGGAGAGGGTTCGCTCCTATCGCCTCACCTTAAAGTAATCCCCAAAGGACCAGTTCCCCAGCATCTCGAAGAACGTGTGATGGTACGTATCTCGGCCCACATCCTCCAAGTCGTTGTGCTTCCCTCCTGCACGCACGCACTTCTGGCTGTTCACCACCCGCCGGTGCTGTGCCAGCTCGCTCCGGGGGTGCGCCGTGCCCAAGAAAACGGGCTTGAACTAGAGACCAAGGCAGAGAGACGTCCGCTGTCGCTGGATGCCACCCAGCGCCGGGGGCTGTGCCTGGGGCTCCTGCAACGCGGACGCGGCGCTACGAGAGGCGAACGGGAGGGCAGCGGCGCGGTAAGCCCACGGGGGAGCCCATCCCTCCGCAGGAGACCTCCGTGAAAGGGGTCACCCGGAGAGGGGCCGCGCTCCTCCGAGGGCACGG